ACTAATGGCGCGCCTCCACCGAGCTCCCGACACGTTTCGGAGATTCGCGAACACGTTCCCTGCGCTGTTGCCGTGTTCGGTTTTCAAATCTTTCTGCGGCGCGCCGGGGGAAAGAAGAACGAACGGTCGATGGTCGTCGAGGTTGATATTTTCTTCCACGTACGTGTTGTACGGCACTGATGTTGTTTCCACTTGTCGCGAGTGCAAGAAGTTTTCTATTTAGTAATATTTAATGCCGCAGATGTAGTAGCGTTATATGGTAATGAGAGAGAGAGAGAGAGAGAGAGAAGGGGGGAGGGATGGTGAAGAGAAAAATATCGGGAACGATTCCGCTGGGATTCCGCGACGGCGGCGATGAATTACGTAATAATAACGGTTCTATTTCGAAAGAAAGGGAAAGGAAGAAACGAGAGATGAAGAACAGATAAAGGAAGTGGAGAGGAAATGGAAGAGAGAAAAGGGAAGGAAAATCCATTAAAACCTTCTACTTTGCCTCTTCCTTAGTATCAGTGCTCGAGCGAGGATGATCTGCTGCCTGTTTGACGTAGGATTCTCTCTATCGTGAACGTGCGACTATAAATGTCTGTTCGAAATGTTTTAACAAGTCCGCATCAGGGGACACACCATCCGAATCGATTTATCCGACGTAAAAAGGAAATCGCTTTGTTAATGCCACGATAATACGTACGATTATACATTCAACGCCCACCGTGTGCAGATCTACTTATGTTTTTGCGAATTACCAGTTTTCAGTCAACATCATTGAATTCGTAATGCGTAACTGGCATAAATCTGGACTCGTTAGTGTACCCAGCTACCCGTATAACCCAATGAAACATTAATGAACGTAGAAATATTCGTTTCCGCGGAACAAAGAGAAACCTCGTAATTATTGGCGCTCCGTTTCGCTTTATCCGCCCCTTTCCCCGATCAACCTAACCTTTACCTCTTTTTGTAAAGGACAGTAAGGAAATGGAATCTACGGGAAAATTGATTTCACCCACTAAATATTGCGATGTTTTATATATTTTTATTTCTCATGAATATTCCATGCTTTCCTCTAGATTTGAATCTCCTGTAAATGCGTATCGCTTTATCCACCTGATCAACCTAACTTTTCAACCTCGCGAAAATTGATTTCACCTGCTAAATCAGTTGCGATATTCTTTTTCTTCTCATGAATATTCTACGCGTTTCTCGTATATACCTTTAAATTCCCTGTAAATGTATATGAAGGAAAAGAAGAAAGGAAAACGGTAGTTAAATTAAAAGTTCTAGTCGCTGATCACAAGATTAGAAAGCAGAATTTGTCGTGTCAACGCAACGCATCGGTCGTTAATGGATTAACCTAACGAATTAATCCAACGCGGAGGTAATCAAGATGTCCGATTAATCAACATTGTTCACGATTGTTTCAGGATGTTTGGAAGCAGTGGTGCTTGCGCAGGCTGCGGCAACGCGATACCTGCCACCGAGCTAGTAATGAGGGCGGGTGGATCGGTATTTCACCAGAAATGTTTCACCTGCAGCAAATGTGGAAATCAACTCGTTTCCGGCGATAGGTAAGATTACCAGAGCTTAATAAGCACGTGCTTGACAGGTGTCACTGATACGTCGAGTTGAAACAATGTTAATTTTCGAGGCTCGGTGTAAGGGGAGACTTACAACGAAGAAACATTTTTTAATGTAAATAGATCCACCGTCACTTTGAAAATCGAAGTCTCCTCTTTACGACGACCTCTCGTCTTTTGTGCTATCACGCAATTTTTCTCACCATTTTATTGAACGTTGGATATTAGGGTTAAACTAATCTCGTCATCTAACTCTAATGCTTCAAGTTCGATAAAATGCTGAGAGATAATCGCACAGCGAGTTTTAAGAAAGAAAGTAGATTTACACGCGCTTAAATTTTTACAATTCTTCGAGGAAAAGATATAATAAAGAAAAGAGAAACAAAGTAGAGTCATCGAGTCTTTAAAACGAGACCAAGTGGATCGTTGTACGATCTTTTTTCACGAAGTTGTATCGGTTTAAATAATCGACAATTTTTCACTATCCCTGGTACTTTTACTCTTCACCGTAAGTGAACGATAGTTTCCAATAAGAGATTAGATAAAATTATTGGACAGACTGATATTGATATTGTCATTAAACTGCGCTCGTCGGATATTTGACGGATGCAGAAATATACGTGACATAAAAAGATATTCAGAGTATAGTTATTTGTTAATTGTGCTCGCCGAAATATAAATTCGCATAAACATCCGTAATTTAGTTACCACTGTAACAGCCGGCTTTAGACGTTAGGTTAGAATTAGTCGAAATTGCAATCGAGCTAGACAGAGGTAGAACGAAATTGATCGTAGGTTCAAAGAGACACGAGAAGAGAGCCGCGAATTTTGCCAGGCAGCATAGATACGACTCGAAGAGGAAACGCGACAATTAAAGGGTTGGAAAAGAGGCGTGTCACACGGGACTGTCGGTTAATTGGTGGGGATCGCAACCGGGGATTTTGTAATAAAGGAGGAGGGATACAATTATCGCGTCCCGGTAATGAAGCAATCTTGTTTATGAACATCGATTTTGTGGATACTCTGTGTGCACGTCGTGCTCTGCTTGATTGCCAGATGTTCGTTTCGGTTCGTACGGTTTTTTGTCCCTGTAAAACGATTGTCCGCGTCTCCACGCTAATCATTACTTTCGTCGAGCACAGTATTCTCGATCTTTGATCGATGTTTGATCGATGGATTTTTTGCCCGAATGTAATGTCTGCTTCAGGAGCTGTGCTCGAAAATTACGTGTCTAATTTCTCGTCAAACGAACGACTTACTTCTCTCGCGAGTTTGCTTGTTTGACGATGGCACAGATATCAGTGAATTCAATGACCAACGATTGAAATAATTGTTGTTTTCGTTCATCCAGGTATTACCTGCTGTCGGGGTCACCGGTCTGCGAAACGGATTGGCACAAAATCGTGAAATCGTCGAGCGTCGCGGCCGCAGCCGCCGCGGCAGCGGCCGGCAACGGTGGCGCACCGGTAAGAAAAGGTAAGGTCGGTCGGCCTCGAAGAAGTCGCGAATGAGGTGGCAACCCGGTCGGTCGCCCGAAGAAGGTACAAGCCTCTCCGCAGCCGACGCCGGTCGTCGTACCGTCACAGGTCGACGTTGTGGACGTCGCTGTCGGAGGGGATCCCTATTCGCCGCCTCCGCCGGGTCATCAGCAGTACCACCATCATCACCACCACCATCACCATCATCATCAGATGGGACTCGTACATCCGGGACTGGCGGTACAGCAAACGCACCTGCAGGCGTCCACCTACCAGGAGTGGTCTCCGTGGGCACAGGACACCTGCGACTGAACAATCAACCTCGTTCAACCACTTATCCGAGTGTCGGGCCCGTCTCCTGGCTGAACGAATCCTCGCCCTGGTCTCGAGGCCCTGATCTCGTCGCCGCTGGACCTCTTCTCCGTTTCACCGTCACCGTCACCGTCACCGGTTCGAAGATGGAAGAACGGAAGATGGAAGAATCGAGCATCACTCTCTTCGTTCGTAGGGTTCTTGCGATCCTTCGCCAAACCGAACAAAAGGGATGGAAATTGTCGTGTGAACTCCTTCGATTCGCGAGCGGTTTTCTTCCGTGGATACGGATGAAACAGGTGATAGATTGGTGTGTCTTGCCTCTTGTGAACGTTGTGCGCGAGTGCAGGAGGGGACGAAGGATCAATCCTTGGGTGCCTGCAATACGAGGCTCTCGTTCTGCCTGTGACCGAACCGTTTATGTCGCTAGGAAGAACTCCATAAACGATGATGGAGAAAATAATGTTTCTTGTTCGTCTTGTTCGACGTCTTGTCCCGACCGATCGAACGCGTCTTCGATTCGGTCTTTCGCCGCGTTTCGACAGTCGTCTGTGCGGCAACGAATCTCTCGATCGCCTCCGCCCTTGGCAGGCCTTCGATCGGGAACGAACCTCGAGCAATAAGCGTGCATCTGTCTCGTTGGATTGTTCGGTAAATCGCGCGCACCAGCCACGTGCGAGAACGCTGTACGCATCTTCTCAACTGGTCTCCTCCTCCTCCTTCTCCTTCTCCTTCTCCTCCTCCTCCCTCCTCCCCTCCCCCGCTCTAATCGATAATCTTTGCTCAATCACGAAGAATGGAGGATAATCGAAGCGTCCTAAGGTATACGGATACGCTTCGTGTATCGTCGTCCACAGTAGCATAACGTCAATTCTCTTCGGCCTCGGCCGGTTCTTCGCTGCTCGTCCACGTTTAATCGAATCGGTAATCCTGTTAATCGCGCATCAGCCAACCGGCAATCACTTTCGCGCTCGTGTTTCGCTGCATTTCCTCTCTAACGGATGCGCATCAGCGCCTGATACTCCCTGCCCTCGATTACCTTACTGGTTTATTCGCGATACTTCGTGATCGATTTCGTCTTTTGGTTGACGTTACGGCTCTTGCGGTTTCTATAAATCGTCTTTTATCGTTTTAATTTTATTAATTTCTGTTTTTTTTTTTTTTTTTTTTTTTTTTTTTTTATTGTTACGACTGTTACTGTTGTCTTTGACTTATCTCATTTCTCAAGTACAAAATTTTGATAACGGCGCGCGAAGAATAATTTCTTCGTTCGCGAACGGCGAACGCTCTTTTTTTTTGTTTCGAACAACTTGCGAAAGAGCCAAGACCTGATGCGGGAATCTAAAAATCGCCGGATAATTTGAAGATCGAGAACGCTTCTTCAGGTATCAGTTCTTAGGAAAATTATCTTTCTTTTGAAATCTTCCCCTTGGGACAGCGTTTCTTCCTACAAATTCGTTCAAAGCGTTTCTTGTTCTCGCGAAAGGCCACCGGTGAGATTATCACTCGAATTTCCTTCCGACGGTAGCCTCGTGTCCTGTTTGATCAGAATGAATTTTGTTCAATTTGAAGAATCTCCAACATATCAATGAAACCTGCGAAAGTGTTCAATGTCCAAGCAAACTGCGACAAAGGACTGAACCATCAAAGCGAAATGTTCCGACGATGTCAATCTTTTTCCTTTTTATGAAAATTAACGCGCAAAAATAAGCGCGCGGTAAAGAAAATTTCCCGAGAGAGAGAGAAAATAGGGTTGAAATGCTGTTGGACGACGAGAACGCCAAGCACCGCTGCCCGAGGATCGCTCATGGCGAAGGATTAAAGCGTGTAACAAATACTTTTTCTAAGTGGCAGGGTTTCGACATCCGCAATAAACATTTACGTAAATGTATAATCGTGAACACGTTACGATGTATCTCACTATCACCCGAGCTTGTCGTCGGTTTCCGTGTCCAGGTTACCCCCGGTAACAAGAGTTGTACAAATTTTTCCATCGAGATATAACGTTATATTCCCATCGTCCGAGTGGACGGAGCCGGAAAGGGGAAGCGGAAACGACACGGGCTCGGGCACGTTCGAAGCTCAATACGAAACTAAAGACACATGTTTTGGGTGTAAATCACGCGGAAACGGCTGGCTCGGTTCGCTTTATGACGCTCCACGTTTTCTTGTCGATTTCTCATTCTCGAGACACGCTTCTCGAACGGGAGTTCTTCGTTTCGTCGACGTTTCGCCGAGATCGATCGGAAGAATATATATTCGTGTTGTTTGACGAAAAACACTGTACGGGAATGAAATTCGCGCGCACGTAATACGTGCAGATGTAATAATAACCGTTAGCTAATAGAGAGGTGAAGAAAGTATCGTTGACAAACGATCGGTGGCCACTTCCAACTTTACTCGAAGTAACAAGCTTCCGTTTGTAATAAACAGAAAGTATTACTTACCTTTATCGTTACTTTATCGCGCGTTCGCCGAACGTTATTTTGAAACCGATCGACAAGTGCCATGCTCGAAATTTCTATAAAGCGACACCGAACGGACCGGCTCCGTGCCGTGCAACTAATCGTTACTCGTTTAACCCGTCTCGTTCTTAGCGAAACATTCGTCTCTCAGAACGCCGCCGCGCGCTTGCGAGGATTCGAAGCGTGAATGACAGAGCTGAGGAGCTGACGGAAAGAAAAAAAAAAAAA